GCTGTACCACATATGTACATGCTGCCATGTGGCCAAGGAGCCTTAAGCAACCCCTTGCTGTGATAGTAGGGTACTGTCTGAGGCTTTGTATGATGTCTGCCATTGACCAAAAATGAGCCTATGGCAATGATGCCCTGGCCTGACCCAAGTCCAACACTGCTCTGATAAACTCTATCCTCTGTGTTGGGGATAGGATTGATTTGTGCTCATTGAGTAGGAGACCCAACCTGTCGAAGGTGGACCCTATGAAGCTGACCTTTCATAGAATCATAGAATATCAGGGTTGGAAGGGACCTTAGGAGGTCATCTAGTCCAACCCCCTGCTCAAAGCAGGACCAACTAAATCATCCCAGCCAGGGCTTTGTCAAGCCGGGCCTTAAAAACCTCCAAGGAAGGAGACTCCACCACCAACCTAGGTAACGCATTCCAGTGCTTCACCACCCTCCTAGTGAAACAGTGTTTCCTAATATCCAACCTAGACCTCCCCCACTGCAACTTGAGACCATTGCTCCTTGTTCTGTCATCTGCCACCATTGAGAACAGCCGAGTTCCATCCTCTTTGGAACCCCCCTTCAGGTAGTTGAAGGCTGCTATCAAATCCCCCCTCATTCTTCTCTTCTGGAGACTAAACAATCCCAGTTCCCTCAGCGAGTCATCGAGGTACAGATTTACCTACACCTGCATCCAGCGTAGGAAGGCAGCCACGACCAACATGCACTTGGTGAACACTTGGGAGGCCGTTGACAGGCCAAAGGGGAGGACCGTGAATTGGTAATGGTTGTAGTTCATCACGAACCTGAGGAATCATCCGTAGGCAGGAATTACAGAGATGTGGAAGTACGTGTCCTTGAGGTTGAGGGCGTTTGCGAACAGGGGCTGCTAACAGGGAGTTTCGCAAGGGAGTTCTCCAGGTGAAGGAGGAGCAATACAGCACCCTTTTGGGCGGACAGGGGGCTGCAGACGGGAGTTTGACAGAGGGAGGCTTACGATGGTTAGGAAGACCCGCAACACCTGTGCCAGCACTGCTTCTGTCTCCTCCACCTGCGCCTGTAGCCAGACAGAGCGCCTGAGCATGGATGCTTCTACCCAGATCTTGGTGTGGTTTTGCAGAGACTGTAACTTGCAATTTCCACTTACTGATATCCAGGCTGGGGGGACCATCCAATGTGAAAGGTGCCTGCTGGTGGAATCTCTCAGGCAGCAGGTGGGAGAGCTACAGGAGGAGGTGGCTAGGTTGAGAAGCATCCGAATCCACGAGCAATTCCTGGACAGTGTCCATGTGGAGACAGCTGAGGTAGCTGTCCCAGGACACAGGACTGCTGATACACCACTGGTGGAGGAGGAGATGGCTCAGGGTGGACACTGGCAGCTGGTTACTTCTGGCAGCAGGCAGTGCTCCACCCCTGCCTCCAGTACTGGCATAACGAGTGGGGTTCCGCAGGGGTCTGTTTTGGGACCGGCTCTGTTCAATATCTTCATTAACGACTTAGATATTGGTATAGAAAGTACGATTATTAAGTTTGCAGATGATACCAAACTGGGAGGGATTGCAACTGCTTTGGAGGACAGGGTCATAATTCAAAATGATCTGGACAAATTGGAGAAATGGTCTGAGTTAAACAGGATGAAGTTTAACAAAGACAAATGCAAAGTGCTCCACTTAGGAAGAAAAAATCAGTTTCACACATACAGAATGGGAAGAGACTGTCTAGGAAGGAGTACGGCAGAAAGGGATCTAGGGGTTATAGTGGACCACAAGCTAAATATGAGTCAACAGTGTGATGCTGTTGCAAAAAAAGCAAACGTGATTCTGGGATGTATTAACAGGTGTGTTGTGAGCAAGACACGAGAAGTCATTCTTCCGCTCTACTCTGCTCTGGTTAGGCCTCAGCTGGAGTATTGTGTCCAGTTCTGGGCAACGCATTTCAAGAAAGATGTGGAGAAATTGGAAAGGGTCCAGAGAAGAGCAACAAGAATGGTTAAAGGTCTTGAGAACATGACCTATGAAGGAAGGCTGAAAGAATTGGGTTTGTTTAGTTTGGAAAAGAGAAGACTGAGAGGGGACATGATAGCAGTTTTCAGGTATCTAAAAGGGTGTCATAAGGAGGAGGGAGAAAACTTGTTCACCTTAGCCTCTGAGGATAGAACAAGAAGCAATGGGCTTAAACTGCAGCAAGGGAGGTCTAGGTTGGACATTAGGAAAAAGTTCCTAACTGTCAGGGTGGTTAAACACTGGAATAAATTGCCTAGGGAGGTTGTGGAATCTCCATCTCTGGAGATATTTAAGAGTAGGTTAGATAAATGTCTATCAGGGATGGTCTAGACAGTATTTGGTCCTGCCATGCGGGCAGGGGACTGGACTCGATGACCTCTCGAGGTCCCTTCCAGTCCTAGAATCTATGAATCTATGAATCAAAAGGCAGGTCTTGAATAGTTTGTTTAACTTGGGCGGGGGGGGGGGGGGGGGCACCCCCACACCAGGAACCTCCTCCTCATGGCTATGCCAGAGGACAAGATCCATGCGGCTGAGTCCGCAGCATCGAGTGAGGCCTGTAAGAGGTCCGTGCCACCACCTTGTCCTCCTCCACTATAACCACAAACTCTGCCTTAGAGTCAGAAGGCACAAGCTCCTTACATTTCATCATGGAGTCCCATGAATTAAAATTGTATCTGCTGAGGGTTGCTGGCTGGTTAGCGATCCTCAGCTGGAGCCCTCTAGTCAAGTAGACCTTCCAGACAAAGAGATCCATCTTTTTGGAATCTTTTGGCTTGGGAGTCAGGCCCTGTTGCTCCAATCTCTCTCTCTCATTTACCGCCACCAGTAGGGCTGTTGGTGAGAGAATAAGTACTCGTATCCTTTAGAGGGTACAAAATACTTCCTCTCCTTCGCCCCTCCTTGGTTGTCGGGGGGATGAAGGCAGGGGTTTGCCACAGAGATTTTGCGGTGGCTTTAACGTTCTTTATAAGGGGCAGTATTACCCTGGATGGCCCTTCAGGAGCTAAAATATCAACCATCGGGTCCTCCGACTCAACCACTTCCTTAGCCTGGAGCCCCATATTGTGGACAATCCTGTGCAGCAGGTCCTGTTGCGCACTATCATCAATAGGGGGCAGTCCAGAGGAGGAAGACCCCGCAACTTCTTCGTCTGCAACTGTACAGCCTTGGGACTGTTCCTATCTGAATAAATTACTTCCCATTCTGATGCAAAGACTAATTCTCAGACTAATCGGACTACTTAAGTCCATTCTATTTGCAAGGGTGGAATCTGAAAGGGATACATTAAGCATGTTAAGTGTCCCTGCTCCTATTTATTAGTGTTTTGTATGTGTGTGTTTATCCCTGGCTGATGGAAGAAAGTAAAAGGTTGATAAGCCCTCTCCATGGCTTACAGTTTAAAAAGAGTTCAGTTGAGTAGAAGTGATGAGTCCCAATGTTAAACTGCTTCTAATGATGAACAAGAAAGGGAGGTTGGGGAATTAAAGGAAATTTCTCATCCAGAGTGAGATTGGGAAAAGTGCCCTAATCTGTTCCTCAAGATCAAGCTATTCCCCATCCATCCTACTCTGCATCCCAAAAAGGACTCTATTTGAACTAGTCATCCTTCCTTCACTTGAGCACTCCCACAAGTTTTTGTGCCCCAAATGACTATATGTAGTTTTACTAGATATGTCCACATAAATATCAATGTTGTGTATGGTTACTTGTCTAATGTGCCCTCTTCTGTACCCGATTTATTGAATATTGTTACATTTTTTCTATTTTATAAACTTACGGAAAGTCAAGACAGATAAAAAACAACTTTAAAACTTCCCTTTTATAGTTATCCAAAATATGCAGAAGATTTAAACATATAGTAATATTTGATACATTGATCAGTAAGGAAAACGATAAAAAATACATTATTTTCAGATACTGTGTAGGAGTGGCCTTTTTGTTTGTGTTTGTTTGGTGGGTGTGGCGAGATGGGGGTGGGGGAACCCGCATACCTGCTGAAATTATATGTACATTGCTGAACGTTCTATAACTTAAGAAGTTTTTGTGATTTAAAAAGAGTAGAAGCAGAAAGTAAAATGGAAAGATACAATGTATAAGATAATGAACTAAGTAATGCAGAGAATTTGATAACACTGTGGATCTTTCACTAACACTGAGGCTATTTTTCCTATTCATAGATTTACTGTCTCCTATCTTTTCCCATTCCAACTAAGGCTACCTAGTTTGAGCAAATACCCAAACTGATTTCCTCTTCCTTATAAATGAAACAACCCATGTTTTCACCACCCAGATGAAGCACCTGTTTAAACTGAATACAAATAAATTTAAAATACTAACTGCTATAATAAAACCACCATCATCATTTATCTCTGAGATAGTACTATTAATCCATAGTGCTTTACAAAGGAGTCATCATTTTCTTCATAGCAGAGAGAGAAACTGAGTAAAGATGTCTCCTTCCATTTTCGGCATTCATTGTTAGCATACTATTAGGAACTACTGCTTACATTTCTTTTTAATGGGACCTGTTTGGTGGTGGAGCAGGCATTTTCCTTTTTGAGACTTTATCATTCCATTATCAATACCTTAAAGAAGCCTATAATAAATGTATAAAAAGCAGCGCTGGGAGCACAGCAAATTTCTCTCATAAGGTCATAGAACTATGAAGATCAGTGGAGCCTTAAATGTCTCTAATGAAAAAATATTACACTACAAAGGCACATCCCCAAATTGTACTGACAGGAAATAATTTCTTAAATTAATTCTTAAAACACAGTACATTTTGTTTTATGGTTGATCTAAAAGGCATATTGCTTGCATTGTTGCATTTCAAACCTTGTTAAGAAATAAATAGCATAGACAACCTTAGAGAACTTTCTAACAAAGTAAAATTTATTAAAATCTGGAAATGCTGGCAAAAAAAAAGCTTTGACTACTAATTTGTATTTTAGAATTAACTATTTATAAGGAGACCAAAATAAAATAATATATACGAGTTACTTACCAATAGAGATAGGGCTTATCCTTATCTACATTAATATTGTTTAATGGATCCATACGAAACCAGGTGTTAAGAGTAAACCCATTTTGGTAAGGCCACTTAGCAATAGGAGGTAATGCAATTGCCTACAGAAAAGGAAAGAGTACAAATTACTAATGTAAGTATGTGGATTTGCAGTGTTTAATCAAATACAACTATTTTGAAAGGACCCACAAAAATGACAATCACTGCACTATAAATGCTTTAATGTTTATTTACTCTTATGAGATTTTCTTGTTTTCAGTTCTCCAACTACATAAATTATATTAATGGAGGACTTGAGGAGATATTAATAAAATCAATTAAATTATATATTAATACCTTACAGGAGGAGTAAAGTAGAAAATGCCAGGGAGTAAATTACTTTTATGGGTGTTAAAACACAAAATTCAACTTTTGACAACTGCAAAATCCATTTAAATGCCAGGAGCACATTATTCATACTAGATAACAAGACAAAAGATTCAACAAGTTACATTTTTTTTAAATATGCCCTGTAAGGATTTGAAAACACTATCCTGCTGTTTCCATGACATTTGAATTGATGTTATATAGTGACGAAGTGGAGAAGTTTAATAACTGACTCTGAGGATAAAATTAAATAAATGTTAGAGAGTGACCTGTGTGGAAATCAAAGGATGTGATTTGATGCAGTGCCATGGATGTTGGTGTTTATGAAAAATTGTTTCATTTTCTAGGCTGTGACTGACTGAAGACTTTGGCTTGTTGTATGGAGATAATTAATACAAGATATAAAACTCTTCTTTTCTCAGTATGGTACCCACAACTAAAGCAAATCACTTTAATGGCTTTTCGGAATTAAACGTTTATGATACTACAGATTATTATGGCAAAGCCCCAATTATGAGTGCTTTCTTCAAACAAAATATAGCATATTTCTAGATAATAGAAATTAGGGAACATCAGCCTTCTGTACAACTATCTGCACACAATATTTTCTCACTTTTTGTACATGATATAAGAAAGTATATAGAAGGAAGTATTTTGCTAGGTAATTAGGTCAGTTTAATTCGAAAACCAAACAGTCTACCTTTTTCAGTTCTATCAAGGTCATTTTAAGGAGTATGTTAGTCAAACAAACATTTTTACATTGTTCTATTTAGTTTTTATCACTGATCATTACTAGGCTTTCCCTCTGCCCACTCCAAAACAGCCCCACCTTGGTGCATTTTCCCAAGGGACAGAAGAATGTGTGAAGAGGGAATGAGCAACAGAGAACAAATATGTATTACTGAACAAACTAGAATAACTAGCATTCCCTGAGCAGGGAAAGATTAATACATTTCAATAATTTAAAAGAGAAAGTTCGCATTTGTGGTATCCTAATTAGGGACTATAGAAATGGGAAGCAACTTGGAGGACTGCCTAAGAGCAGAATAGGTTAATCACATGTGACACTCCTCCTGGGAAAGATTTAGAACTGCCTCAACTCCGACATAAGCTAGTATGTAATAAACTCAGTTTGCATGGGGGATTGTAATTTATTTTCCTGTTTTGAGGGGATGGAGGAGGAACATCTGATACTACAAACAATAAGGGAATACAAGTAAAGTATTATAGTCAGACAGAGTGGTGTGAAACTATACTGAGTTCCTTGGGGAAGGGAGTTCCTCCAGAAAGGCTCTACTATACACAAATACAGAATACCTACCACCTATTATTTACATAGCATCAAAAAGCATGCTATGTGCACACTTCTCAAATGTTCTCCATTTTGAACGGTGTCACGCTTTTTAGTCCCGAATACAGTAACTCCTCACTTAACATTGTAGTTATGCTCCTGAAAAATGCAACTTTAAGCGAATCCAATTTCCCCATAAGAATTAATGTAAATGGGGGTTAGGTTCCAGGGAAATTTTTTTCACCAGACAAACTATATATTATATAGCAACAGAGGGTCCTGTGGCACCTTTAAGAATAACAGAAGTATTGGAGCATAAGCTTTCATGGATGAGTGCCCACTTCCATTACTTGCGTCTGATGAAGTGGGCATTCACCCACGAAAGCTTATGCTCCAATACTTCTGTTATTCTTAAAGGTGCCACAGGACCCTCTGTTGCTTTTTACAGATTCAGACTAACACGGCTACCCCTCTGATACTTGACTATATATTATATAGATATACACACAGTATACGTTTTAAACAAACAATTTAATACTGCTCACAGCTATGATGATTGCGAAGCTTTGTTGAGGTGGTGAAGTTAGAGGGTGGAAGAGGGTAGGATATTTCCTAGGGAATGCCTTGCTGATAAATCAGTGATTCTCAAACTTTTGTACTGGTCACCCCTTTCACATAGCAAGCCTCTGAGTGCGACTTCCCAATATAAATTAAAAATACTTTTTTATACATTTAACACCATTATAAATGCGGGAGGCAAAGCGGGGTTTGGGGTGGAGGCTGACAGCTCCCAACCCCTCATGTAATAACCTCATGATCCCCTGAGGGGTCCCGACCCCCAGTTTGAGAACCCGTGCTAAATGATGAACTAGCACTCGGCTGAGCCCTCAAGGGTTAACACGTTGTTAATGTAGCCTCTCACTCTACAAGGCAGCAGGAATGGAGGGGAGGGGAGATAGCATCGCAGACAGAGACGGACACACACCTTGTGTGTGGGAGAGAGAGAGAGATGCACACTGCCCCTTTAAGTAAGCTGACCCACTCTTAAGTGCATTCTTTTTAAGTGGATCAGGAAGTTGAGACAGCAGCTGCTGCCCCAGGCTCTCTGTCTGTGTCCCCACCCTGCTCTATATGGAGAAGAAGGGGTAAGTGGGGTGTAGGAGCAGGGGGGAGGGGGCACCCTGACATTAGCCCCCCTCCCTTTGCCCCCCTGCACGGCTCAGGGAGCAGCTCCAAGGCAGAGGGCAGGAGCAGCACATGGCAGTGGGGGGGGGGTATAGCTGCAATTGCTAGCCTGCTGGGTGGCTGCAGCACAGGGAACTAAGGGGAGCGGGGAGCTGATAGGGTGGCTGCCAGTCCACCCTGGTTCCAAGCCCCCACCAGCTAGCTGCAACAGGCTGCTCTTCCTGCAAGCAGTGGACAAAGCAAGCGGCTGCCAAATGACGTTAGACGGGAGCATTGCACAACTTTAAACGAGCACGTTCCCCAATTGATCAGCAATGTAACAACAAAACAACGTTAACCGGGATGACCTTAAGTGAGGAGTTACTGTATACCACAAAAGTTTAATTCTATTGTTGAAAATTCACAAATTCATAGAAACATAGGGCTGTAGGGGACCTCAAGAAGTCATCAAGCCCAGCCCCCTGTGCTGAGGCATGACCAGATATACCTAGACCATCCCTGACAGGTGTTTGTGGAACTGGAAGTTTCTAAGCCAACCTCCTGCGAAGCCTATTCCAATGCTTAAACTATTCTTGGAGAATTATTTTTTTTCTAATATCTAACTTGAATCTCCTTTGCTGCAGGCCATGGCCATTGCTTCCTGTCCTACTTCAGTGGACATGGAGAACAATTGCTCATCATCCTCTTTATAAAAGCGCTTAACACATTTGAAGACTTATCAGGTTCTTTCTCATTCTTCTTTTCTCGAGACTGAACATGCCCAGTTTTTTTTAACCTTTCCCTCATAGGTCAGGTTTTCTAAATCTTTCATAATTTTAGTAGCTCTCCTCTGGACTCTTTCTATTTTGTCCACATCTTTCCTAAACTGTGGCTCCCAGAATTGAATACAGTACTTCAGCTGAGGCCCCACCAGTGCCAAGCAGAGCAGGACAATTACCTTCCACATCTTACAGACAACACTCCTGCTAATACACTCCCGAATGATAGAGGAGATTACTTGCAACTGGAGGATAGTCAAGATGTATGGTCCTTATCTGTAGTCCACTGTGGGGTTACGTATTGTGACAAAGTTAGGCCAGATGTCTGCTGGAAGGCAGATGTGTTAGCCCTAGAACTTTAAAGGTCCTCCTCCCTACCAGCAGAGACAAGGTTACCTCAGGTCACTTAGGGAAACCTGAGTCCAATTAAGGGCTGCCTGAGGCCTTTTAAAACCCCTCCTCTGCTGAGAGAAAGGGGGAAAAGAGAGACAGACAGACAAGCTGCTGCCAGGCTAGTGGCAGCAGGGAAATAAGCTGCTCCAGGGTGAGAGGCTGTGCTCCTTGCCATAGGGGAAACAGCCAGACCTGATTGCCTGCTAGGGGAAGGACTGACATCCCAGGGCAACCAAGAGGACAACACCCTGCACCAGCAAGGAGGCAACGAAAGGTATCCCCTTGGGTTTTTTTGTTTACAAGACTGTTTCCTTTTTGTTTGACCCTGAGGCCTACCCTGAAAATATGACCAAGAGAGCACAGAAGGGGGAAGGCAAACCCTGCCCTGAGTGGGGCAGATTACCCCAGACCTGCCATCACCAGAGGGGGAAGTGCTAAGTCTGTCGAGACGAAGGAGATGGCTTGCCACAGTATGTGTATCATGCACCCGGAGATGGAGAATTTGAACATAGTCTGCGCATGTGCCCTGGCTCACCTCATGCCTCTGACTGACAGAATAAATGGAGAGGTGGACTGGCTCTTTCTAGATCCTTCTCTACCACGAGTCAGATAAAATCCGAAGCAGAGGAGGAGAAGGGCTGGTAACGCAAAACAGATAGGAACCACTAATCTCAAAGAACCTCCAGTTACAGGTAAGTAAACTTTTCAAGTGATGGTCCCTATTGTATTCCACTGTGGCTGATTGACAAGGCTATCTAAGGAGGAAGATGATGCAAGGATGTAGACAATAAGGCTGAACAGAGTACCACCATCCCAAATGAGGCATCAGTAGAAGAGTCCTGCACCAGGACATAATGTCTTGTAAATTTGTGAATGGAGCTCCACATGGGTGCTTTACAGATGTTCAGGAGGAGTATTTTCTGAAGAGATGACGTAGTTGTTGCTTGCACTCTGATGGAATGAGCTCTTATCCCATTGGGGAGGTGGGGGAAGCTGACAAAGTAGAATGCAGGCAGAGATCCATTTGGAGATTCTCCAGGTGGAGATGGCATGGTCTCTGACTCTTTCTGCTATAGTGATGAACAGCCTCAGGAATTTCCTGATTTGT